TCAATATTCACAAATCCACATCACATCAATAAGAGGATAAGAACCATATGATCAGAAAAAGTATTTGACAAAGTATAACATCCATTCAAGAAAAAAACTCTCAACAAACTAGGTTTAGAGGAAACATATCTCAACATAATAAAGGCCATATATGAAAAACCCACAACTAACACCCTCAATGGGGAAAAACTGAGAGCTTTCCCCTAAGGTCAGGAAAAAGAAAAGGATGTCCACTCTCACCACTTTTATTCAAAATAGTACTGGAAGTCCTAGCCACAGCAATCAGACAAGAAATAAAAGGCATCCAAATCAGTAAGAAGTAAAACATTCATTGTTTGCAAATGACATGATACTTTATATAGAAAAACCTTAAAGTCTCCACCAAAAAATTTGCTAGAACTGATAAACAAATTCTATAAAGTCTCAGGATACAAAATCAATGTACAGAAATCTGTTGCATTTCTACACACCAATAATGAAGCAGCAGAAAGAGAAATTAAGAAAACAATCCCATTTATAATTGCACCCAAAATAATAAGATACCTAGAAATAAACCTAACCAAAGAGGTGAAAAACCTGTACTCTGATTACTATAAAACACTTGTGAAAGAAATTAAAGATAATAAAAAGAAATGGAAAGATATTCCATGATTATGGATTGGAAGAACAAATAATGTTAAAACGTCTATACTATGCAAAGCAATCTACACATTTAATGAAATTTCTATCAAAATACCAAGAGCATTTTTCACAGAACTAGAACAAGCAATCCTAAAATATGCATGGAACCACAAAAGACCCTGAATAATAACTAAAGCAATCTTGAAAAAGAAAAGCAAAGCTGGAGGCATCATAATTCTGGACTTAAGTAATAGTACAAAGCTATAGTAATCAAGACAGTATGGTACTGGCACAAAAACAGACACACAGATCAATGGAACAGAATAGAGAGCCCAGAAATGGACCCTCAACTCTATGGTCAACTAATCTTTGACAAAGCAGGAAAGAATGTCCAATGGAAAAAGTCTCTTCAACAACCGGTGTTAGGAAAACTGGACAGCAACATGCAAAAGAATGAAACTAGACCACTTACTTAAACCATACACAAAAATAAACTCAAATGTATTAAAGATCTACATGTGAGACATGAAACCATAAAAAATCCTAGAAGAGAGAGCACAGGCAGTAACTTCTTTGACATTGGCCATAGCAACATTTTTCCAGATATGTCTCTTGAGGCACGGAAAACAAAAGCAAAAAATAAACTATTGGGACATCATCAAAATAAAAAGTTTCTGCACAGCAAAGGAAACAATCAACAAAACTAAAAGGCAACCTACAGAATGGGAGAAGATATTTGCAAGTGACATATCTGATAAAGGGTTAGTATCCAAAATATATAAAGAACTTACAAAACTCAACACCCCCCAAAAAATAATCCAATTAAAAAATAGGTAGAAGTCATGAACAGACATTTCTCCAAAGAAGATATACAGATGGTCAACAGGCACATGAAAAAAATGCTCAACATCACTTATCATGAGGGGAATGCAAATCAAAACTACAATAAGATACCACCTCACACCTCTCAGAATGGCTAAAATAAACAACACAAGAAAGAACAGGTGTTGGTGAGGATGTGAAGAAAAAGGAACCCTCATGCACTGTTGGTGTGGATGCAAACTTGGGCAGCCACTGTGGAAAACGTTATGGAGGCTCCTCACATAGTTAAAAATAGAACTACCTTATGATCTAGCAATCGCACTACTGGGTATTAACCCAAAGAAAACAAGAACACTAATTCAAAGTGATACATGCACCCCAATGTTTATAGCAGCATTATCAACAAAAGCCAAAATATGAAAGTAGCCCAAGTGTCCATCAACTGAGGAATGGAAGCAGAAGATATTGTGTGTATACACACACACACACACACGCACACACACACTGGAATATTATTCAACCATTAAAAAATGAAATTTCCCCATTTGCAATGACATAGATGGAGCTGGAGAGTATAATGCTAAGTGAAAGAAGTATAATGCTAAGTGAAAGAAGTCAGAGAAAGACAAATACCGTATGATTTCACTCATATGTGAAGTTTAAGAAACAAGCAAAGGGGAAAAAATAAGAGAGAGAGACAAATCAAGAAACAGACTCTTAACTATAGAGAACAAACTGATGATTACCAGAGAGAGGGTCAATAGGTAATGGGATTAAGGCGTGCACTTGTCATGATGAGCATAGGGTGATGTATGGCACTGTTAATTACTATATTATACACCTGAAACTAATATAACACTGTATGTTAAGTAACTGGAATTAAAATTTAAAAAGAAATTAAAAAGTCTAGTGAGTTAAGTATGTTCATGCCCTCTGATTCAGAAATTCCACTCCTCAATTTATTTTAAGGAAAAGAAATCAGAGATAAGGTATCATTGCAGTGTTTTTCATAAGAATAAAATACTGAATAGGCCATTAATATGTAACAATAGGGGATTGTCTAAATTATGTACTATCATGATTGTTTTACAACCATTAAAAGCCACTATTTCAAAGAATTTTTAAAGAAAGTAATTTTGAAGTCATAATTTTAAGTCTAAAAAGCACATAGTTGGATATAAAGAACGAATTAAGCATGTTTTTGTGTTTAAGAATACACCAGGGGTGCCTGGGTGGTTCAGTCAGTCGGGCATCTGACTTCAGCTCAGGTCATGGTCTCGAGGGCATGGGATGAGCCCCGCATCGAGCTCCATGCTCAGTGGGGAATCAGCTTGCCCCTCTCCCTCTCCCTCTCCCTGCCCCTTCCCCCTGCTCATGTTCTCTCTCACTCTCTCTCAAATAAGTAAATAAAATCTTAAAAAAAATATACCAATAGGGGTGGCTGTCTGGCTCAGTTGGTACAGCATGCAGCTCCTGATCTCTGGGTTGTGAGTTCAAGCCCCACGTTGGGTGTAGAGATTACTTCAGAAAAATAAAATCTTAAAAAGAAAAAGAATACACCAACAGTGTTAGTGATTATCTTTAGTGTAAGAATACACATATGTCTTATTTTCTTTTTTTTAATCTGCAGTAGTTCCCCCTTATCTGTAGGGGATATGCTGCAAGACCCCAGTTGGTGGCTGAAACACAAATAGTACCAAACCCTATATATACTGTCTTTTTTCCTATACATACATACCTATGATAAAGTTTAACTTATAGATTAGGCACCATAAAACATGAACAATAACTAATAATAAAATAATCATAATCATACACTGTAATAAAAGTTATATGAATGTGATCTCTTTCTCACTCAAAATATCTTGCCGTACCCTACCTACCCTTGTTCTTGTGATGATGCGAGATGATAAAATGATGAGATTACTAGGTCATTGGGCTCCTAATGACCTAACAGTATGTTGGGATCATCTGCTTCCAGACCCGTGGTTCATCATGGGTAACAAACTGCGAACGCAAAACCACAGATAAGGGGGAACTACTGAATTCCCCAAATTTCAACAGTAAACACATATTTCTTCTACAATGAAGCAAACAAATACATGTTAGTTTTTTCACAAAAAAGCTGGGTGTGAAAGCAAGGGGGGAAGATGGGCAGAGCTAGGGGAGGACGATAGTAGAGGGTATTGTTTTAGACTGAAGAACACGGGCATGGCATTATACGATGAGTGGGAATGTCAATGGAGAAGTAGAGGCTAAATGTACAGGAAGAAAATAAGATAACTGACATTACAGGCTTCCTGAGGTGACAAGAGGGACGAGAACTGGCTCTGTAAAGGGGTTCACTTTCAACAGAGAAGGGCACTTCTGTGGCTTTGATGAGAGAGAAGGAAGTAAGGAGCAGTGCTGCCTTGTTGACTTCACATGCTCACTGCCTACAACAGTGCCTGGCACTGAATGGAGCATGTAAGTTTATAGGTGAAGGAGAAGAAGGTTGGAGGGTTTCTATAGGTTGACTCCCATTTTCTCCAGTGAGAGAGCCACTCTCTAGTGCAGGGGTTCTCAAACTTGTACCAGAATGTATTATAATGTATTATTTTTGTGTGGGTCTGTATCCTTTTCTAAACTGTGAACTCCCTAAGGGCAGAAGAAATCATGTCTTATCTCCATATCTACCACACCATTCCAGTGACTGCCTGATGCAGGGTAGATGCTCAAGAGCTGTTTGTTGAATGAATGAATGAATGAATGCAGTATGGTAGGAGACATAAGAATAGTGGTAAGGGTTTCATATAGCTTATGTGAGTGTTAAAGGGAGTTGACCAGTGACAAATAAAAGGCCCTGGGCAGCCTAAAGACAAAATTGCATAGAGAGCATACCTCTGTACTTAAGAGAATTCCAAATAGAAGCTGGAGAAACTATAATTACAAGTGATCCCTACTGCTCCCTGTCCAATTATCCCCCATTCTTTGAACCTGCCCTGCACAAGTGTCTGTGGGGCAGATGAGAGGATAGAGACCCACCCAGCCCAGCCATCATAGAAAGGAGTGGTCCTCTAACTGCTAACATTGTTTTCTTTTGTTTAATTTGAACCTGTATAGAATTTTAAGCCTCTTACTAGGTAATACCTACCTTCCATAATAAATTGGACCAAGTATGTAGAAAGTCTTTTAGATTATTAATGACAGTACAAAAGCAAGGGACTATTATTTGGGGGTTATTTTACTTATTTTTATATGCTGAAAGCAAGAAGATGCCCCAAATTTTTAAATGCTTCGGGTCCTAGAATAGCTTCCTCCAGCCAGGTTTCAGGGTTCTGAAGTAGTCGTTGGCCTAAATAGGAACATTCCACCAAAAAGAGAGGATTGTATTTTTTCCCCAATACACATTTTTGCTTTAAGGTTATCAGAATGGTGCTGAGAGAAGTGGTTTAAATGTGAGCAGAAGCTGACAGGGATTAACTTTCACAGGATGCTCTGTAGAGCAGAGGGTTGGATCAGAGTGATGATTCACAGATACCATCGTTTGTTATTCCTTTTTTTTTTTTCCAAAACAGAATTGCATTGATGAAATTGAGGCCATAATCAGTGTTAAGCTCCAGCTCATCGGAATTGTTGGTATTGGGATTGCAGGTCTCACGGTGAGAAAGTTCTAGAACTTACCTTTTTTGCTTTCTAAGAAGCCTTTGCATCTTATTTGTCTTCAAGTGTGATATGGCAGTATCTTAGAAGAGATTTCTCATAAAAGACACGTTTGTTGACAGGACATCTTCTAAGAACAAAGCTCATTTGACATAGCAATACTCAGTTCTCTAAAATATGATACCAATTTAACCTTAACCTAATTATGACCTTGAGTTGATCACTGCAATAACTTCCCACATTAAGGCCAGCAAGCTTAAACTAGACAAGTCATTTCCAATTCTGGGTCGCTCCTTACTGTTAGAAATTTTTAAAATAGCCTGCCAGGTTAATCTCTCTCACCTATGATTTGCAGAAGTAGCGTAGTGTAGTGATTAATAGTGCAAGCTCTGGCATCATGCTGTCTGGGTTCACCTCCTGGCTGCACTACATATGGGCCGTGGGTTCACCTCCTGGCTGCGCTACTTACGGGCCCTGGGTTCACCTCCTGGCTGCGCTACTTACGGGCCCTGGGTTCACCTCCTGGCTGCGCTACTTACGGGCCCTGGGTTCACCTCCTGGCTGCGCTGCTCACGGGCCCTGGGCTCACCTCCTGGCTGCGCTGCTCACGGGCCCTGGGCTCACCTCCTGGCTGCGCTGCTCACGGGCCCTGGGCTCACCTCCTGGCTGCGCTACATGCGGGCCCTGGGTTCACCTCCTGGCTGCGCTACTTACGGGCTCTGGGATCATGGGAAAGTTTCTTAATTTCTCTATCCCTCAATTCCCTCGTCTGTAAAATGAAGATTTTAATGTACCAACCTCATGAGATTGTTGTGAAGATAAAATGGGGTAATACATATAAAGTATTTATAGGAATTAACTCATATAAAGTGTCTGGAAGATAGCACTCAATGAACGCTAGCTCTGTACATAATCTGAGTGTTCCCAAGCCCAGAATCCAGATAAAGGGAGTAACATATGCGGAAGTGTGAAGCATAGTGCACCCAGGCAGCTGCAGATGGCTCCGGGCCTCCAAAGTACAAGCGTGTGCAAGAATCGATAGGGGTCAAAGGGATGTGATAGGAGCAGCAAGAGATGACCGTGAGGATGGTGTGAGGGTCCACATAACCGTGGTCTTTGTGTGCCCTTTTGAGAGACTGGGCTTTATCCTTAAGGTAGTAGGAAGCCACCAAGGGCTAGAAGGACCTGTGTTGCCGTGTGGAGATAAGTTGGAGGGAGGCAGGATTTGAGTCAGGCCAGTAAAGAGGTGATTTCCACTGTCCAGGGGTTGAGCGATAATAGCTAATGCTAATGTAGTACTTACCCTCTTGCTATCTATGTAGATTAATTCATGGTATCAGCTAAGGCAGAGGCAAAGGGCATTACAAGGAAAATCAAGGAATTGGCAGTTTTCTGGGACACACAAGCATCTTCCCTCTTTTCTGTATTTAGAGCACAGAGGGGTGAGGCAACGGGGTGAAATACTATGCTGAGGACCTCCCAATCCAGGGACATCTCTCAGGCCCTCCTCACCTGCTCTGGGGCTAGCCTGGTTGCTATTCTGTGGCTTCCTGAGGACAATTTTGAGGCAGAAGATTTAAAAATGGGCTGCATAATAGAGGTATCAAAGAGACACTCCTAACAATTCTACAATCTCAATGAGTGAGCATCCTAGAGGCAGTCACCCCTGACTCATGACAGTGCCAGGACAGTGCTGAAAAAGTTCCTTTCTGAGGGGATCCCTTTAGAGTACAACCAGGATGAAGCAAGGGTTGCATCCAACCTGACAACCACACTAAAGGGGGAAGGCTCTCTATTGGTCATCTTGAATCAGCACCCCCAGAGTTCCTTCTGTAATTCCTTTCTTCTTAAGGTAAGAGTTGCACAGTGTGATCAGTTAGCCAAATGTCCATTAGATGTCTCCCCTGCCATACACTGGAACTGAGTTCTGGCAGCCAGAAGCATAGAGCCCTGCTCCAGGCTGTTCTCTTAAGCCTACCTCTTCCCTTCCATAATAGCAGATAATACATGGCTTTTTAAATTTAACATTTATAGGTTCTAGCCTGATGTAGGATAGGATTAAGGGGAGAATCATAGGGTTATGGTACAGATTTCTTTAAACAAACATTGACAGTAGTTAATAAACATCGCACCCACAGATTACATTCTATAGGGTTTGTGAAATTGTAGGGGAAATGATTGAGAACAAGAAAGATCTTTTGGCATCCTTTTATTCAAACCATACCAGTGGCTATTGGTTTTGCCAAGTATTTGGCTTTTCAAGGAATTATCCAAGAGGCAGAAGACGTCAGTAATACCATAGTTCCAACACCTCAGTTTATGCTTTGGGAAAACTATTGAGTTAAATAGTGAAGCATCATTTGTACCTTAAAATGGAGCAGGAAAAGTGAAGAGATGCTCTACTTTGTAATCTGTGGTCACTGTTTCAAAATTTCAGAGCTTTTCCAACAATAGGAAACTATTTAGACCAAAGCGTAAACAGCTAATAGTTGACAGGTTAATATGGAACTCTTTAGCCATCAGCCGTAATTAAGTAGTATATACAAAAATGCCATTATAGCCAGTAATTATTGGTTATAATTATTTGTTAGACACCCACACAGTTTACTGACTTTTTTTAAATCAATTTTTATCATTTGAAAGTCATTAACAAGTGGTTCCTTCTGTTTCAGATCTTTGGCATGATATTCAGCATGGTTCTTTGCTGTGCAATACGAACCTCACGAGATATGATATGAAGCTACTTCTACATGAAAATTGCAATCTAGAGCCTTCATACGGCTGTCACCAGAACTGTCTCCTGGCTCATTTTTAATATTCAAAGGACATTAGGATCTAAAATAATATGCTGTTAATTGTACATTTGCACATGTATGTATGTTTGGCTCATTATTCGTTTACCCCTTGAGTGAATGCTGTGTATGTTGACTGAGATTCATGTGTGATCTGTGTGTTTCTGGTGTATGCATTGTACATAATGAAATCTGTTTGCTGGAAATTCCTGGTTCTTATTGTATCAGAGGAACAACCTATTTGACTCTCAGAAAAAGATCATCAAACTTTGATAAACTTTAAAAACTTGGCTATTCAGAAGAAATGATAATGGGTCATTTTCTCAGATTCTAGCCATAGAAAGTTAGATACAGAGAATTCAGGATTTCTGGTTAACGGAAGCAATAAGTTACAGGACTTGAGAGATCATGGTGTAGTGCTAAAATTGACTACATCTGAGTTAGGTGTAAGGGTTTCCTGGGATTTTTTTATATACATACTCTACCCAGAACACAGTAAAACACAATTTTAGAACTAAACACATCTGTAAAACTAAATATAGCATGGAAAATCTAATTTGAATAAGTCATACTTTCCTAGTATTTAAAAACAAAAAACTCCCTCTGAAAAGAGTGGTCACACAGACAATCGTGTGCCCTATAAAATGAGTGTTTTTAGGACTTTAAAAAAATACCTTTTAGTAACTTTTTAAAGAAATTTTTTGTTCTTATATAAATACATTTAAATATTACTTTATAACTTTCTTTTTCTGACTCTGCTCTGAACTACAGCAGCCCTCATATGAACAAAAGGGCTTTTATCTCAAATTTTTCCATGTTTCTCCAAATGTACAAATAGAAAGACAAAAGCAAGAGATCTGGCAGTTGCAAATAGTGGGAAAGAGAATTTTTGCTGGCACTGTATCTTTGAAATACCTCATAACTTGAGTTTACATATTTTCCTAATTTCTTGTATTTTTCTTATTCACCTAGAGAATTCTTCTTCATAGATTTTGACCTACAGTTTTCACCCCTTAAGATAAAACAAAATCCTTCCTAATTCAAATATTATAAGCATCCTTGGCCAAACCAAAAGAAAGAAAAGCATCTACTAGTTGTGTGCACATAGCAGAGACAAGCTAAGAAAATTAAAATACTTAAACCCACAGAACAGAAATATTTTTTTCTGTGTAAATCTCCTATAAAAATAAAATTTTCATGTTCTTTATGGTCTTGATGCTTCAATTTAGGTAGGTAAACCCAAATTTAGAATCTAAACTTATATCTTTGTCAATTTTTAACAACTTAGTACATTTAGTAGATCATAGAGGGTTTTTTTTATTACATTTTAAAAGGCCACACAAAAGTGAAAGTACGGGGGACTTTGGAAACCATGTAAGTTCATATGCCTGTGAGAACACAAGTCTTTGGGTATGCACTAAAGGAAAGTGTGCACTCCCAAGAAACTTTTACAAAACATTTTGCTGAAAAGACCTAACCATTACAAATGGTCTTATTTGCATAGAGAACCACACTTCCTCTGCCATACTTGCTACAGCTACTAACTTTAGAGGAAGCTTCTCTGGAAAAAAGTCAGATTGGAAGCAAGCTAAAAATTTAATTGTACATGGCTACTTCACTGTGTCTATAGCTAAAGAAAAGTTTATTTTAACAAAATCACTTCATGAAATAGATGTTTATACTCCAGTAGGTGAGAAATATAACCTTTTAAGCAAAGAACAAAGAGCCCATCTCTCTTCATGGCTGTAGTTCATCCTCTACCTGAAGACAGGCCCAAGTGCATACGTTTCTTCCACCTCAGAATCGTCTCTGATTCAAAAAAACTGTTTCATTCTATACCTGATTAACAACCTTAAGAAGACTACAATACTTAAAAGTGGGGGAGTGGAGATCTGTTCCATCTATGGTTAATGTGTCCCTTTTCGGAGTTTTTCCAAAATCTGTGCCATGAGTAAAATTAGAGAATTCCACCTCTGAGTGAGGGTAGATTTTTATATATCGTAAAACTATATATATCTTGCATTCCTATATATCTTGAATCTATATGTGTCTTAAATATATAACTCTTGAATATATATACATATATAACTTGAATATATGTATGCCTGAATGTGTGTGAATACAGACATATTCATGTATACATATATGGGTACATATATATACACACACACACATATATATAAATTTTTGGTTATATCTGTTTACCTGAACTGATTTGAGATCAGACCCAAACATATTCTTAAGCATCTGGTACCAAGGCACTGAATTAAAATTTCTTGATGAACTATTTTAAGTTATTTCAAATTAAATTTTCTATGTACTGGAATTGCTTGCTTGATTTCTCTTAAAATTCTATTATATCTTTTTTAAAAGGGATTTTTAAAAAGATTTTATTTATTTATTTGACAGAGAGAGACACAGCAAGAGAGGGAACACAAGCAGGGGGAGTGGGAGAGGGAGAAGCAGGCTTCCCGCGGAGCAGGGAGCCCAATGTGGGGCTCAATCCCAGGACCCTGGGATCATGACCTGAGCCGAAGACAGGCACTTAACGACTGAGTCACCCAGGTGCCCCAAAATTCTAATATATCTTTATACACATCTTTACGCAACTTATCTAAATGTCCAACTACCAAACAATATGGTTAAAAAAAAAAAAAAGAGGAAAGAATAGTAACCCTTCTGTAGTATGACTATGAGGAGCTAGACTTAAAAGCAACACCCTAAGGACTTTTGTGCAAATAGATTTCAATTAACATTGTCTCATCCAAACTATATTATCCAGAATAGCTCCTTTGTTGTCCAGAGTTCAATCTGTAAAGCCACACACTGATACAGGGACCAGTGTAGTCCCCCACACAGTCATCCAAGAGAGTTGCTCTCCTTTCCCCATGTGCCCCATTAATAGATTTACTTGATGAAAACGAGGCTTGTGGGGAAAAGGCAGTGAAGGAGATAGCGTATCTTTCCTTCTGAAGTAAGTATCAAAGATTAAAAGGAAGAGGCACGCTTGGGAGTTCAGGAACTTTCCTGGTTCACTGCTCCATTGACATCCCCTTTGGCCACCAGCCCCTGATTTCAGCAACCCTATTTTACCCACCCCTATGAGGGAGGATTCGTGGGCCCCAAAGCCAGTCAATTAACTGCATCATCTTAATTTGGACTTGTCAAAATCAAATTTATATTAAGGTATATTTTAAGGGGCACAAAAAGTTTCTCCTTTCTTTCAACATGACTATTTTTTCCTATAAAATGTACCTGTAAGTTATTATCTGTAGGTATCCATTGAAAGGTAAAAAGACTACACTAATTCAAAATGTTATTAATCATTTTGTTGATATCCTCACTGTCAACAAAAGTTAAATACATCCCAGGAAACCACTACTCCAATGGCTATCTCCTGGGGATATGGAAAGCATGAAGTATAGAAGTAATATGTCCTGAATGCTGTGAAGCAAAATCTGTGCTGATTTCATAAAATTTTTATCTAATGTGCCAAAAACCCATCTGAAGCTTTGGGATTTGTTTTCATTGTTTTTTTTCTTGTATAATTTAATGTTGGTTTTACTTATATTAAGTAGAAGAAATTTAAATTAAAAGAAATAACCAACTATGAGGTTAGCAAACCTGGCAATGAATGAATATTATCTAAATTGTTACAATTATTATATTGATGAGAGTTTCTGTTAATTATAAATCAAATATGCATCATCATGCATAACCAAAGATACTTCTGCATCATACCAAATGCCTATTTGAACACATTCATTTGTTGAATTAATGAATAACTTTTGATATATTTCCCAATTCTATTTTAATTCAAAGACTTAATAGCCATAGTCTGAGTCCCTATATTTTCCTCTGGGCCTGCTCTGCCTTATAAGATGCAACCCACTCTAATATTAGATTTTTGTTTACTTTGTTTGAGGACTACTATTTTATACATTTGAAAAAACTCTTTAGAAGATAGTGATATGCTAAGATGAACAAGAGGAGTCTGCCTTCAAGGAGCTTCGACTGGGACAAAAACAGGCAAATATAATTCCCATGAGGTAAGTGCTATGATATTCACTAACCAGAAGTAGACCCTCTCTATCTTGGAGAGGCTGGTCAGGGGAGAGAGATTTTCTGAATTTTGAGGTCTCTAAACTGAGTCCTGAAGAACTCATACAAATTATCCAAATAAAAAGTAATAGCAGTAGAGAAGAAAAGTGGATCACTGGGGTAACAACATCAAGAAGACCCTGAAACAGACAGCATGGAAGCATTCCAAGAGGACATGTCAAGAACCAGGGAGATGAAGGGGCCCGTTAAACTATACCAAGGAGTCTTATCTTTGTACAGCCATCACAGCATAAATTTTAAACAATGAGTTACAGAATCAAATTTGAACCTTTTAAAAATCACGTAGCTTTAGTATGAACAATGATTGGAGGGCAAAGGCCAGAGGATTTCATGAGGATTTCTAACTAACATACTGAGATTCCTACCAAGAAGTAGACAGATATAGGGGCAGTTGAGGGAAAGAGGACCCTGGAATCATTCCCAGGTTTCCTGACAGCTGAAGGATGGTGGTGCCCAGGAGAAAAAGCAGACTGCAGTGATGAAGCAAGTTGGAGATGACTATAGGACATCCAAGAGGAAACATAATCAGGTACTGGATACATACCCTGAAGCTCAGGAAAGGAGTCTGAGCTGGAACTATAGTTTAGGAATCTGCAACATAAAAGTAAGTAGTGCCCATATTTGAACAATATGGGTAGCTTTATCACATTAAAGACCTCAGTGAGAAATTTTCAAAAACTAAAATCCTCTACTCCAGTAAAGTTTAAAGCTCGAAACAGTTCTATACTCCCCATCCATTCCTCCATCTCAGGCTGGAGGGTCTCTATCAGCTACCTGCGAACTCCTTCAGTAGCTGCCATCTAAACCATCTTTTATTGAAATGGGTAGTTTCTCATCTGTTGTACATTTAACAGGGTCTGAAGGGTCAATAGGATACATAAGATTATCAGAACACTAGCCCTTCTTTCACAAAATGTGCAAATTTCATTCCTATAGCACAAAGCAAAATTATATTTCCAGAAGAAGTACAGTTCAGAACTACATTACAGTTGCCTGCTAGACCATAGCATGGATTTGTACTCATCATAGAGAAGGAAAGCAAGAAAAGGCAGGAAAAGAGAAAATGTGGACTTTGGCCTCATTAGGACTGATTATAAATGCCATAGATGTATTATGTTATGAATCCAGATATGTGACCTCCACTGGGCCCTCTAGGATAACACAGTGGTCAGAGAAGATAAGGACCTGTATATTGGACTATTAGTAAGTCATTGTCAACCTTACTGGAAACAGTTTCAAGGGAAGATGGGAGCGGAAGTCAAATCATAGTGGGTTGAGAAGAGAATGAGAAGTGAGGAAATAAATGGTCAGTGTAGGTGGCTTGTTATAGTCTGAAAGTTTATGTCTCCTTAAAATTCATGTGTTGAACTCCAAATGCCCAGTGTAATGGTATTAGGAGGTGAGGTCTTTTGGAGATTCCTAGGTCATGAGATTGGAGCCCCCATAAATGGGATTAGTGTTCTTATAAAAGAGGCCCCCCAGAGATCTCTTGGCCCTTCCACCAAATGAGGACACAGTGAGAAGGACCAGTTATGAACTAGGAAAAAATCTCTCAGTGGAACATGACCATGCTGAGCACCATGACCTTGAACTTCCCAGCCTCCAAAATAGGTTTCTGTTGTTTATAAGCTACCCAGTCTGTGGTATTTTGTTATAGCCACCCAAACAGATTAAGATGGGATTTTTACACACACACACACGCGCACGCGCGCGCGCATGCACACACAAACTGGAATAAGAATTCAAAGAGAGAGGAGCAAATAAACAAAAGGTTGCACAGGCTCACAAGAAGATTTAGTTGTTTCTGCTTTTGCATTTTTATTTAGGAAGAGATTGAAGAATGATTCTTGCTGAGGAGAAAAAGCCAATAAAGAGGAAGCAAGAGAAAAGAGAAAACAGCGAAGTCCTGGAGGAAATGGGGGATGGGATCTTTTAAAACTAAGGGGAAAGTCTTTCCTTTCTCTCTCCCCGCCATTTTGGCGGCTGCTTTTGGTTGGGGCCGTCCCACATCTAAGGCAGGAAGATGGTGGCCACAAAGACGACGAAAAAGTCGCTGGAGTCGATCAACTCCAGGCTCCAGCTTGTTATGAAAAGTGGAAAGTATGTGCTGGGGTACAAGCAGACTCTGAAAATGATCAGACATGGCAAAGCAAAACTGGTCATCCTCGCCAACAACTGCCCAGCCTTGAGGAAATCTGAAATAGAATACTACGCCATGTTAGCCAAAACTGGTGTCCATCACTACAGTGGCAATAATATTGAATTGGGCACAGCATGTGGGAAATACTACAGAGTATGCACACTGGCTATCATTGATCCAGGTGATTCTGATATCATTAGAAGCATGCCAGAACAGACTGGTGAAAACTAAATCATGCAAAATTTTTCTTTAATAAAACTGGCCACAGCTTGTTTAAAAAAAAAAAAAAACTAAGGGGAAAGATGCTGAATCAGTCAGTGCTTTTCAGTTGCAAGTGTCAGAATCCCAACTCGGACTAGCTTAAACAGTTATGATTAAAAGTTACAATTTCAGTAAGACTGTTGAATCACAGACCTGTACCTCTGAAACAAATAATACATTATATGTT